AGCAACAACAATACCCTCTTTGGTGACGTATAAGCCCTCTTCTTGCTGCTAGTTATCCATCGTGGTAAACAACGACAACGACGACAACAACAACAACAACAACAACAACACTTGCAAGAGGATAATTACAGCATTAACGATATCACGATGAGGGTGAAATAAAGGTTATCCCACGGGCCCAGCGGGCAAAAGGAAGGCGGTGAAGAAGATGGCCCATCGCAAGGGTGGCAGCGGTACGGATACATGTTGCGAGCAAGGTTTCATGAACTCGGCAGCGATTAGCTAATCAAGAAGTACCAGTTATCCATATTACCCGCCGTTATCCAACTATGTCAAAGTCGTCGATCAGGCCCTTAGACTTCAATAGAGCTCAGCTCCTATTGGCGGAGCCGAGCAGACCAAGGGTGATGGATGGCGCCGGGCATTACAATTCATAGTGTCCAGCCCGCCGGGCTCGAGTTTTGGAGGACGGGTTGAATAGATTGCTTAGATACGCGCGTGCCAGAGGAAAAACCGAACGGATTCCCATGAGGCGGCGTGGAAGGGCCAGACCATATCGACGAAAGAGTCGGCCAGCCTCAACTGAGAACACTAGGAAGGGGTCATTTGATATGTCTCAGCACCTTATCAGAGGTTATTTGGCACCAGGAACGCAATCAGTCATGCCGTGGTTGAGGAATGCCAGATGATTGACCGCAGGACAGCCAGACTGAACAGCTGGGAACCGAGAAACATGCCAGTCGAGCCCGTCAATCGGGATTGAGTAGTGGGGTCAGCGCCCTCTGCAAGCAAAGGGATATGGGCCCAACTCCGGGCAACGATCTGCGGATTCTTCAAGTGGTGAGCGAATGGCCATTTGCAGGAACGAGCCTTTTGGCGGGGTCGGAGACGGCAGACGTCTTCCCTCTTCTAAACTAGTTCAGCCAATACCTATCTCAATCCCGCCACGGCGCGTATACAAAATCAAGAAGCCGAACGAACGACAGGGGAAGGGGGGGGCAAAGGAACGGATGAAAGAAAAGAAAACCGGGTTCGCGAACGAGAGGTGACGTGTGACCCAGTGACGACAGATGTTCCGACAATCGACGAGAATTGTTTTCAGCAAGAGATCGGAGGCCGCGTAAGGCGACTGCTGTAGCTGCTCTGGGCCTGCATCACTGCAGCGAAACCTGGACCCACTTGTATGCTGTGGCGTGGTTACGGAGAGGCCAATGACGGGCAAGGCGCAGCGTTCCGTGGACTCCGCCATTCAGGTCGTCAGGGTCCTCCGGCGATGCCCCCACTACCTACCGTCGCCCGCCAGAGGCTGTTGTTGCCTTGGTGCCGAATCCGGCTAATGTCTGGACGAGGCAGGGCGACAGGGACAGGGGGACGGGCGCGGCCGCGTGTGAGTGCGGGGGCGTTCCAGCGAAAGGGGGTTTTCCAGCTGTGGAAAGAAGGCGCAGAATGCTTCGAGTGGGGATTTCGAAGGCCAGGGCAGCTTTCCGACACCCCAGCGACGGTGTCATTTCCATTGACAACGGCATGGCTCGGGCCCTCTGGCGTACGAATACTGTCTCAGGCTCGAATACGTACGGGGGGGTTAGGTAGGAAATAAGGTGCATCTCGCTGGAATGCCCATCCAAATATGGCCGGTGGTCAGTCAGGATAGGGATAGGGGACCGACTCGCACAGTGACTAGGTTTATCCATCGTTTAACAAGTTTCTTAAGCATATATTCGGATCGTAAACTACGATGCACTTGTGTGTCGACCTTCCCCGTTTGGCTAAGCCCTGGCATAGCTACCGGTCAAGAGTCCGGGCCAAGACCCGGGGTAGACGTGGACGGTTGAGGCCAGGGACTGGAGGTTAAAGAACGGGAGAACTGGCGGGCGGCAGCGGCGGTCAGCAAAATCGTGAGGTTGGAGCGTCTCATCCAAGTCGGGCAGAGGAGCTGTGGCTAGTCGCCGGGCCGGACCAGCCAGTGAGGTAAGCGTCAGCGAGACGCTCGAGAGACACACCGAGCGAACCCACAGTATCGTTTGATTGGCATCATTGGATCATCGGGTGGCGCTAATAAGTCGAGTCGGAGACGAGGTGAGTAGGTATTGACCAGATACTCTCGGTTGCGGTGCAAGGGGGTTATCGTTGCAATGGTTGGGCAAGTTTCTTGGTTACATGAGTAGTAGCGAAGAGCCGAGCAGGCCGTCGTCACAAGTTTGGCTTGGGCAAGTAACAGAATCATGTTTTCCGTCGGGCCGTCTTCTCTCTCTCTCTCTCTCTCTCTCTCTTTCCTTTTCTTCTCCTTCAGTGTTCCTCTCTCCTTCTTTTTTCTTTCCCTCTCCTTTTTTTGCGTTTTCGGAAACCGACCGAGTCTGTGAGTCGAGGATGGGGGAATTACTACATCGTGTGTAGCAAAAAAAAAAAAAAGAATAAACAAAATAAAAACACTCGACCATGACACAGCGGAGTTCACGGACTCCTGCCACATATTGCGATCTGATGGGATCCTGGCTTGAGGCGACGAGCTAAGGCTGGCTGGGTCAAATAACGCTAAACCCAATACGTCTTTTACCTTTGGGGATGGATATGTCCGACCTTGCTGGTTCACCTACCGATGCCTAGGTATTTACCCACCTAGGTAAGATAGGTAGTTACGTGGATCGCTATCTTGCCGCACCTCACCACACAGGTCGGCGCTGTTTTTGTGATGCGGGACAGGCGGCAATGATGCGGCGGTGAGGTGAGATTTGCAACAATGCAGCACTGCAATAGATCTCCATGATATAAACAGCAAGGTTCCCACCCGGCCTCCCGTGCAGCCGCGATTGTTGTACAGGAAAATCCTTGGATACCAAGACCGGATGCCATCACTCCTCTCTCCACTTTGCAGACTCGCCGCATAACAAAGGGCACGTCAACTTTCAGTCACGGCCCATCATCGCCAAACAGCCATTCACCCATCGAGGGTAGAAACTTGATTTGCCTCATCCGCATCCACGGCTACGCGCTTGCTCTTTTCTCTCTTTCCTCGCACAAACCCCGACGCTCTTCTGACAAGGCCAAACCTCACGAACCTTGCAACCATCCCCGCAAACCGTTTCATCGTCGACTCTCGACACTTTTTTGCTTTTTCTGCAAAGCCCAGCTTTACCCCTCCTACCGCGCGCTTGTTCAGTGGAGGGGCCCTACCCTCCTTCCTCAACTTTTACCATTGTCTTCGGTCCTGCTATTCGTCGCATAAGCCAACGGCCGAGCAAGCAAAAAAAGAAATAACCCCACAGACGGTCTTTTTCTTCTTCTTCTTCTTCTTTTCTCTCTCTCTCTCTCTCTCTCTCTCTCTCTCTCTCTCTCAGCCATCTGCCTACCTAGAAAGCTCGAGTTCGAAACCAAAGTCCCGCTGCAGTGCGCCAAGACTCTCCGCCGTCCTACCACCTGCTCAAGACGGGATCCCCAGGGAGGTTCCACCGCTGACGCTTCACCCCCCCAAGCGAGCGGGATTCCGGCACACATTGTACCAATGGCTTGCGCCAACCAAGGTGAGCTCTCCCCGTCTCTCCCGCCCTCGGAATTCCCCTCTCCGTCCGCCACTCATCACTCCATGATCCATTCAGTCAGAGGAAACAGACCGCTGGCCAACCGGGGTACCCATGTTTCTTCGAGAACAAGATGGAAGCTCGTCTACTCAAGTCACGCGTGTTTTCCCTCTATCCGTACTACGGATTACTACGTACACTGCTCTCCGAATCCTTTCTTTCCCTTTTGTTGGGGTCGTTGGGAGCATCCCACGATACACATGGAGAACAATGTGCCATGGTCAAAGTTCGAAACATGACAAACCCAGACACCAATCGTCATGACTGGTGTGTGTGTGTGTGTGTGTGTGCGCATTGGCATGGCTGGGTCCCTCATGCAGGTCATGCTAGCTTCTCGTGCTTACTTTTGTGCTATTGTGCCCAAGTGGTGCACAAGCTGCCTGCCATAGCTGCCTACCCAAGCAAAACAAAAAAGGTAGATGTGTCTATCCATCCGTCCAGAGTTGTGTCTATGCAGCGCGGAGAAAAGAAGGAGGACGAAGGGGGGGGGGGGGGGGTACAACGTACCTGCTCCCCCACCCATCCACCCAGTCAATCATTCATTCGTTGGCGTGGCTTGTCACTGCTCTATACAGCACAGCATAGCACAGCACTGCGGCCAGTCATTTAGCACCTTCTCACCACCTCCTTCCTTGTCTGCCTCTCGTAAGCGGAAGCCCGTGGTCGAGCCGAAGCACGAGACAGCACTTTGTAGCCATACGCCGGGCGCACAGGAGCCGCGAAGCGGAACAGCGTTACGTGTTTCCAGATGCGGCGCATAGGCCAGTGGCCACACCCACCCGCTTTGCTTGACTTTCTTCTGACTTTCGACTCTCGGCCTTTTGCTCTAAATACCGTGTCCGTCCCCCCCCCCCCCCCCCAGTTCCAGTTCCTGTGGTCGCTTTCAGAGTACCTAGTACCCCAAGGGGATCTGTCTCGCCTTCTCATTTGCCCATTGCTGCTTTCACTACTCGTCTCGTTCCTGGGCTTGTCCGTCTCACTAGCTGCCACTGCCTTTTTTGAGAAGGATTCGTAATTGCCCAAGACGCTAAAGGATCGAACGGCAACTTCCAACACGGAATCTTCGCGGCGGCGTCTCGCCCTTTGCCTCGGTCTTCACTTCACCTATTATTCGTCTCTTTGTTTCCCTCTCTTTTCTCATCCTCGGAATTCTAATTTCCCTAACCAACCGTCACCCAATTACAAAGAGATCAGTTTCTCGTTTTATCTTCTTGTTCTCTGCCCCCCCCCCCCCCCCAAGTCTTTCCATATCTACCATCCCACACCCAACCACTATTCTGTTGAATATCAGCCCTGCGACCACCGCCACCACTACGACCACCACTACCCGACCACACTATACTATCGCACTACTGCCACGGGATCATTGCCTAATCCCTCCCCACAATTAACTAAGACCGCATTTCCCTCGCAGAGCCTTACACAATGACCAACGCACCACGGAGCCCGTCGACCAAGAGCCAGGCTAGTCTTCGGGATACTGGCTTCCCTGAGCCCTTCAACGGAGGTGAGTTGATGATCTACTTCAACTACCAGTTCGTCATAAGAAGAAAAGGAAAAAAGTCTGACAACTCCCAGAACGCAACACCACACTGCCGCATCCCGACGCCAACCTGTCACCCGATGCTGTCATCTCGCAAGACGACATTAGCGGCCAACGAGTAATGGCCCGCACGCGGCGTTCGTTCCTTCAGAAGCACAGGCGCACCATCAGCCACGGCGTCATCACGCCTCAAATGGCCGCACTCTACAGCCAAGAGGCCCTGCTAGAGTCCGACGCCGAAGCTATTTTCGACGCCGACGGGCCCTCCAACGCCAGCCACTTTAGCCTACCCGTTGGTCGCCCGCATAGCAAGGACGGCACCGAGAGCATCGTCTCCCACACAGCCGGGGACCTCTCGCCCGTCTTGTCGGCACAGAGCGGCAGCAGCCGGAGAAACAGCTTGTTGAAGAAGTTTGGCCTGCGGAAGTAGGGGCTGAGGGGGTTAGGCGGCGGACCATCACCGCCATGTGCCACGCACGATGAAACGGCCGAAAAGACTGTAAAAACAGACCACCTACAGCGCAAGCGCGGAGTTATTTTGATATATTAATACTTTGGGCTGGGACTTGGATTAGGATTTGGGACAGGACTGGTGGGCTGGCTTTGGGACTTTGTTTTAGGTTGTAGGAGCAACGGGATGGCGACCAAAATGCAATGCTGGGAGGCTTCATCCTTGTATTCGGTGTCATCATCATTATCATCATCAATGCCAGCCTTGCTGGCTGGGACACTGTCCACAAGAATTGACATTACCTCCAAGGGACGATGACAATACTATCGTTAGACAACCAGTATCTTCATAATTAGATCATTACGTTGCAGGTTTCTTGCAAACTGGTTATCTCTCTCTCTCTCTCTATCACTCCACCTACCCCTGTCTGCATGTTTAGATGCTTGCTGTGGACGAAGAAGGCCTTTAGATGTATCTTTCATCTGGTTCATCATCCGATGGCTAACCCCCTCCTCCCCCACCCTGGAGCTAGTCTCCCCAATCCGAACTCATCCCCCCCCCCCCCCCCCCCTATACAGGAAGACTTCCCCCCCTTCTCTCTCTGTCTCCCGTCAACCTCATGGCCGCCCATCCCTTCCCTCCCCCCCTTCCCCAGGACGAAGAAAGAAAACAGCATCTAGCTGCCGCGGTAGGTGGTGTAGCTGTAGGGGCTCAGCAGCAGGGGAACGTGGTAGTGCTGGCCCTCGCGGACGGTGAAGACGACGACGGCCTCGGGGAAGAAGGTGGCGTCCTCGCCGCCAAAGTAGGCGGCGGTGTCGAAGCGCAGGGTCCAGCGCGAGGGGCCCTGGAGGGCGCCGAGGACGTCCTCGAGGGTGTAGACGGGGACCTCGCCCGAGGCGGTGGCGTCGGAGAAGGGCAGCCAGGCCTTGACGCGGCCGTCGTCGTCGGTCTGGGACTCGAACTCGCGCAGGACGCCGCCGGTGGTGGAGGGGGAGGAGGAGGGTACCGTCGTCGAGAGGTGCACGCGCACGCCCCGGGCGGGGCGGCCCGCCGAGGTGTCGAGGACGTGGCAGGTGATGCGGTCCTTTGTCTGGGACGCCATGTTTCGGTGGGGTGTTTTTTCTTTTGTCAAGTTTTTTTACTTATTTATTTGATCCGCTCCTTTTTTGTTCACTGCGGTGCGGGATCTGCCGTGGCTGTATGTGTGTATTTTTCATCCCCTGTCTCTTGTGCGGATGTGCTTCCTAGGTATGTATCCGTACACGCTGCGGCGGTGGGAAAGGTAAGAGGCGATGTTGGGCCAGGCTGAGGGGTGAGGCTCTCCCGACAGGTGATGGCGGGGTAAAGATCAGAGGGCGGTGGGCTGGCGAAATTGCTTGGCGGGCCCGTCCTCCCTCCCCCTTGTACCTGGCGGAGTGGGGTCGGGTCGCGCTCACGACAGGAAGTAAACGGATTTGGTTCTGCCCCTTTGAAAAGGGACCGGCGATAGCAAAGCTAACTATACTTCTTGCGGACGGCGCGAATTTATGTTAAAGGAAGGATGTGAATGTTTTTTTTTTGTCTGAGAGGGCGGGTATGGCCTGTGGCAGATAGGATATATATTATCATCGAAGCCGGCGGGGGAGAGGGAGAAGCTGCGTTGCAGGCCGCCGGGATGCGATGCCGTGCGATGCGGTAGGGCCCCACTTACTCCAGGCTACGGGCGGCTCGCCGAAACCAACCGTGACACTCGATTTCCCAGGCTACAGAATTCCAGGAATTGGAAGGAGGAACGGAACGACTAGCGGTGGAAGGACAGCTGGTTCTAAAATAGAACAAGAAAGCCCACAGGGAGACGGGGCCCCTCGTCTGGGCGGATGAACTGTCAGCCGTCGCACAGGTACTGCATTTTTTCAAAGGATGTCGGACCTGTCACACATGATGCGGGGGGAGCGACCTGTGTAGAGACATCAATACCGGTAGGATAGGCACTCTCAACGCAGCTGGCCACAAACGGTAGACAAGTGTTGGATCTTTTGCTTAGGGGGTTGTCCTCAGTGTTTCGTTTTGTTTTTGTGCTCATTTCTTGTTTAAACATCAAACATTACCCCACTTGGACACTCTTAACGAAGCTGTGCAAATGGCCGTGATGCCAGGAAGGGGGTGGCACAGACGGTAGATGCCGGGCCCGAAGAGCGGGAGCCCCCAGAAGGGTTCTGGGCGGCAGCGTCTTTCATATGTGGGTAAGCACTCGGGTGACAAAAAAGAAGGGACACTTTTTCCACCTCCACGCCTAAAAAGTGTCCCTTCTCTTTTGTCACCCGAGTGGTAAGCAAGCAAGCAAGCAAGCCCCAACGTCATTGGCCCGTGCGTCACACTTTCGCAGAAGCGACAAGCCACAGCTTTCTCGGCGGACTCTTTCGACCGAACACACAACACAATAGACAATGAGAATCCGACCCCCAAGAAGACGCCAAGAAGGGCCAAATTACATGGCATTGCGCCCAGACCCGGACCAGACCCCCGGGCCTGCCTGAAAGAACCTGCGCATTCAAGGTTTGATGCCAGCATTTCCCCGGCCTACCTAGACCACTGGGTGGAACGCGCGCTACCGTCCATGATCCGTCTGCCTCGCCGCGAAGCAGCTGCACCCATCACGCGTTGTTCCTCTGCCGAGATCTGTACAGGGAGAAGGCTCGACACTAGGCGGCGCCGCGATAGCTGAGCGATGATCTCACCTCTGCGCTGGGCTGCGCGCGAGGTCTTGGTATTGCTTGGTATTGCGCACCACGCGCGTCAAACCACCAAGAAGCTTGGCTCATGCCCCGGCTGACGTACAACGACGCGGTCCACTGAAAACACCGAAAACACACCATGGCCCTAATCCGACAATCGCCAAAGGGGAACGAACCGATAAAATCAAGAGAAAGTCGCCGCCAAGGAGCCAAGTGAAATGGCCGCAACCCACCGCCCTAGGCCTGTAGCCTACAAATCTGTACAAGAGCATCTGGGACCGCCGTTCCCTTCTCCCCCCTTTCCGCGAGGATTACCGTCCTGCCGATACCTATCCCGTTTCTTGTCAACAGAGCCAAAGTGAAGAAGAAGAAGAAGACCCCACACGGGCATACCAACTACAAGCCTTGATGGCGGCCGTTGACCACCCCGTCTCAAACCCCGACGAGGGAGTCCAGTACCTGACCCAAGACGAGATCGACTCCTTTCTCGACGACCTCGACCACAACGGCGACGGCTACATCGACTACGACGAGGTCGAGGCCAAGCTCGACGCCGCCCACGACACGCTCACCCCGCAAAACCAGGCCAAGCCGCATCACGTCATCCGGAAGAAGGACCAGCCTCAGGACTTCTCGTCCAAGCAGCAATCGCGCGACGAAAACCGCCTCCGCCATGAGTTCCTTCGCACCATCATGGGGCTCCCCGGCTCCCACCCGGGCACCACCTCGGACCCGGCCGCCGACGAGCGGAGCCGCTCGCACCGCATCCCGCGCGCCGACTTCGCCGCCCGCGTCCGCGAGTGGAAGATCCCCTCCCTGAAGCAGGACAAGGACTCGGAGGACTCGCAGAAGGACTACGTCCGCAAGCTCCGCCTGTCCCGCCGCCTGCGCGCCTACTGGGCCGTCCACGGGCCCGAGATCGCGTTCCTGGCCCTCGTCGTCGGCTGCACCCTCGCATTCGGCATCTGGCAGTGCGTCAAGTACGTAACCCAAACACAGTACCGCGCCGCCTTCGGCTGGGGCGTCGTCATGGCCAAGACGGCCGCCGGCATGCTGTACATGACCTTCTTCTTCCTCCTGCTCAGCATGTCGCGCTACTTCTCCACCTGGATGCGCCGCTCCTACTACGTCTCGCGCTTCGTCAACTGGGACCTCAGCCAGTCCTTCCACATCAAGATCTCCATCGTCGCCCTGGCCTTCGCGACGCTGCACGCCATCGGCCACCTGACAGGCTCCTTCTACCACGGCAGCCGCCCCGCGAACCAGGACCGCGTCGCCGAGGTCCTCGGCCCGGATATGGTGCCGCGCCCCTACGTCGGCTACGTCCGCACCCTACCCGGGTCCACGGGCATCGCCGCGCTCGGCTCCTTCTACATCCTCGCGCTTCTGAGCCTGCCCCAGGTGCGCAGATGGAACTACGAGGTCTTCCAGCTCGGCCACCTGCTCATGTACCCCATAATCGGCCTCATGATGGCCCACGGCACGGCGCACCTGCTGCAGTGGCCCATGTTCGGCTACTTCCTCGCCTTCCCGACTCTGCTCATCCTCGTCGAGCGCGTTGTCCGCGTTGGTACGGGCTTCCACAAGATCAGGGCGACCCTCAAGGTGCTCGACGGCGAGACGGTCGAGATCACGGCCACGATCCCGAGCGAGCGCATCTGGAAGTACCAGGCCGGCCAGTACGTCTTCCTGCAGGTGCCGGCGCTCAGCACCTTCCAGTGGCACCCTTTTACCGTCTCCATCTGCCGGGGCAGGGAATTCCAGCTGCACATCAAGACGGACGGCAACTGGACGAAGCGGCTGCGCGAGCTCGGTGGAGACGCGGGGACCGCCGAGATCGACGTGGGCATCAACGGCCCCTTTGGCGCGCCGGCCCAGCGCTTCTACGACTTCAGCCACACCATGATCGTCGGGTCGGGCATCGGCGTGACCCCCTTCTCGGGTATCCTCGCGGACCTTCAGGCCCGCGACGACGAGGAGCACGGCGGCCCAACGCACGGCCACGGTTCTCAGCATCAGCACCGCCACGACTCGGAGACGACCGTCACGACGGAGAAGAAGCCAGCCGACAGCCCGGAGAGGAAGGACTCGGAGGCAACGGCGGCCCCCGACGCCAACGACCCCAAGAAGGCGCCCAACCCCTCAGAGGCCTTCGCCTTCGCGGCCGACTACCGCCGCGTCGACTTCCACTGGACCGTCCGGGACCGTAACTACCTCCTCTGGATCGCCGACCTGCTCAACTCGGTCTCGCGCAGCCAGGACTGGCACCGCCGGCACGAGGGCGCCGACCAGCACCTCGACATCCGCATCGCGACGCACGTCACCCAGAAGCGCCGCGACATCGTCACCCACGTCTACCGCTGGCTGCTCGAGATGCACCGCACCGACGAGCACCCGGAGAGCCCGCTGACGGGGCTGCTGAACCCCACGCACTTTGGCCGGCCTGACTTTGACGACATCCTCGACCGGCACTACGAGGACATGCGGCGGTTCCGGGCGAGCAAGCGGGCCAACATGAACGCAGGCGCCATCGAAAGCGGCCTCAACGGCGGGGAGGAGGAGAAGAAAAAGAAGAAGACGGGTGACGGGGGCCGGGCCGACGCCGACGCCGACGCCGACAGCGTCACCGTTGGGGGCGGAAATGGCGGCGGCGGCGGCGGCGGTGGTGGTGGGGCCAACAACGGCCCCTCTCACGGCGCTAGCGGCGGGTCATCGTTGTCATCGTCCAGGGGGGATGTGGAGGAGGAGGAGGAGGAACTCAAGGTGGGCGTGTTCTACTGTGGCGCGCCGGTCGTCGGGGAGATCCTGGCGGACAAGTGCCGACAGCTCACGGTGCGGGGTCGGCAGGACGGGAGCAAGATTGAATACCACTTCATGAAAGAGGTTTTTGGGTAAATCCAGTTCTTGGGTAAATGGATTTATCCAAAACCGTAAATCCACTCCATGAAAAAAAGAAGAAAAAAACACTTTCTCTTGGCTTCATTTAACCTAGATTCGCTTTTGGCTAAAATGGATTCACTCAAGGCAGGGGAGGAGGGTGTGGAGGGGGGGGGGGAGGCGGGATAGACGGGCGTGCGCCGGCTCAACAGTAGGGTTTCTCGCGCTCGTCAAAGCTTCCTGCCCCATTCCCGTCTCCGGTAGTGCGGATAGGTAGTTGGGCGATTTTCACCTGGATAGGGCCGAGGGCGGGCAAGGAGAGGGGGACAGTCGGAGAAGACACGGGAAGACGACGAGTTATCGAGAGAGTGTGTGTTTTATGAGATGGATAGGGGAAGGCTGACGCGGAGAGAGGTCCCTTGCCCTCCCCTTGGCTAGGTAGTTAGGTAGGGCGGGCGGGCGGCAGACGACGAATCCTTGTTTGGACGCGGCGGTTCAAAGCATCGGTACT